GGGAACTGCTGGGCTGGCTGCGAGGGGGTTTGCTGTTGGCTGTAGCCTGCTGGGAAGGCAAAGAGCGAGGTGGGGTGAGAGAGAGCAATGAACCGCGGGCATCTGCAGAAATACCTTCTCTGTGCGTGCTCACAGTGACAAACACAGACGCAGTAAGCACAGAAAAGGCAAACCAAGAATGAACTAACTGCACGTTTTCCTGCCTTCCACATAAGCACGCTGCCTGGTTTTGGTGCACTACCATGGCAGCACGGCAAGGGTGAAAAAAGTTTGTACAAGACAGTCTTCCTACAAACGACATGAAATTTAAAAGCAATGACAAATAGTATTTTACCATCATATCACATGAAAAATAAAGCGTTTTCATTGGCAACTGAGGCAAAACGCAACCTTTTTCCCAAAGGAAAACTTTAAGCTAAACTGTCACGGAAGTACTGCTAGGGTTTAATTTAACTCATACCTTGGGTTATATCTTAAGTGTTTTCAGTTCCTTAGGATTAAAGATGAAAAGGTTGTGCAAAACAGACTACTCAAGTACAATACTTCCATTTAAACATGTCCCAAATTTGTTTTTTTTCTGTATAAAACCAGCTTCTAAAAGGACTTCCTTTTAACTGAAAACTTTAAAATGACACAAAGTCCTTTTACAAAGACATAGCTACTTTTATCCATCATGAGACACACCTGCAGCTACTTGCAATGAAACCTCTCCAGTGACTGGAATCCTGTCAGCATTAAACACCAGACACACGAATTATTAAAAGTGCACAGCCCTAAACAGAAAGAGTAAGGATTGAAGAATGCACTGGAGTAAACTCACCTTGCAACTGGGATCGAAATTTACTCATGAGACAAATCTCTCAAGGGTCCACTTTTACTACCATGAGTAAATAGCCACATGGGTGCCTAGAAGATCTACAAGAGTGGGAATGGAACCTGCTCTTGGGGAACATGGGTTTGGAAGGAGACAATACTCAGAGGAAAAACAGCAAAACAAGCAAATGAAGTCAAGATCTTCAAAGGCTGCTGTCATGAGATCCTCAAAAAAAGACTGTTTCTGAAAGATTTAGGTTAATCATGAAATAACTTAGGAGAAATAGAGGAGTCCCAGCTAAGTTTTGGTGGTGTTTCATTCTTAACTTGAAGATGATGTTGATTAGAATGCAGAACTCGCCTGGCACTACACAGCTTTCACAGGAAGTTCTCCAGTAAAATAATGGATTAGCTGCTGGTAAGATATGACTAGAAAGCAGGTGGAAACTCCTTTTTTTCTCCTCCACTCAATTTTTAAGCCTAAAGAAAGTCAGACAGACCCTTCTACTTCCATCAGGCTTGTTACTTCTTCTGAAATTACACTTCAGAAAGTCTGTCACTGTCTTCTAATTACAAATGTGGGGGTGAGAAATCTGCAGAGAACAAGATAGCATTTAGAGACCCAAACCAACCAGCTCTCAAACAGTACACAGGAACAGGGGCTGCACCACAAACCTTCAGTTCCAAGTTTTCTAGGGTAGTTATCCAAAGCAAACATGGAATTTCTCCACTGGCTCTGCAAGTGGTCTCATTTACATCAAAAATTGGTGCACTCACTCCCACTGCGTACATTGCACACCAAAAAGACAAGGCCATACAGGCTCTATTCTGAGTCACGTAATGGTATAGGAGTCTTTTGTTTAGTTTAAGAAGATCGTTTAAAACAAGGAATGATAAATGTTTTGTGTCATTTTCTAAGAGTATTAAAGCAACTTGCAATTTGTTACAGAATCAGCTGTTGCTGGATTATGATTCCTAGCATATACTAGGCACTATCAGATGCCAGTTGCTTCTAAAGTAAGTAACTGAAAGCTCTGGAGTTTATTCTGGGTACAAGCAAAAGCCAGCTTTTCATATTTGACTGCAGATAAACCCCTTGTGCACTAAAATGTTCTCAATGCTAGAAGTCTACTCACACCTTTCCTCAGGGTATCAGCAAAATCAGCATCTAAGAAACTCTGTCACTTGAATGTCTCTCTGAAATCACAGTATTTGTAATAGGCAAGGACCGACTAAATGACAAACTACAATCAGTGTTCACACCACAGAATTTTGAACATGGAGATCATGCTAGAGGCAAGCAATAGGGGCCATCTTTATACACCTCTGGTATTTAAGGAAACTGAATTGGGATGTTTTAGTCACTTGCTAGAATTGCAAGACTGCAGAAGTTAATCCTGAAGACTGCTCATACCTCAGGTGATTCATTTTGTCTAGCCTTCTAACAATGCACTCTGCTACTCTATATAAAGAAGTCTGCTTTTAGTCACAACCGAGCAGGATCAAGAGACCAGATCTCCAACAATATATTAAAAGTACGGACAGCTACGGTGTTCTCTTACTGGTGCCTGTAGAATTGCAGGCACTCGGGCTGCCTCACAGGTCGAGGAATCGAAGCTGACAGGGTCAGGCACTGAAGGAGAGGTTCTACAGCTGAATTGCCCAGTGAGAGAGAGGGCTGCTTACCTGGGTACTGCATCCCGTACTGCTGCTGGGGCTGAGCCTGCGCCTGCTGAGCGGGATAGCCTGGCTGCTGGTACTGTTGGTACATCTGACCTATGGATTAAAAAAAACATGTTTAGCTGAAGCCCGGCACCCTAGCTGTACTATAAACATAGAGTGAATTATAGCCTAACAGTTCAAAAAGTCGCAGAAACAAACACTCTCACAACATGTAAAAGCTTTTTCTAAAAAAAAAAAGTTTGAATGTGTTCCATCCAGCTACCAATTGAAATCAATCTCCAGGTTTTAGCTTCTGAACCATGCTGTTATAAAGCCTAAACAATGTTTATCTAGCTCCAACAGAATAAATAGCACTAATTATGTGTGAGGCGAACTATTTCACAATTTCAGAGGATGGCAGAAGCCATACAACCTTAATTAGTGTGACTCTGGTGGGAAACGGAGCAGGAATCCTTAAATGTCTTCATAACTGCTCGAGAAGTTACACTGTAATTTAAGTACTTCAAAAGTTAAACATGTCTTCACACTGTCTGTTTATAATAGGTTTTTAAGACCATTTCTGCATCAAAGTAGTGTAAGCAGAGTGGTACATTATTTATTCTGACCACATTTTTCCAGATAAGTCATCCATCTCTTACTAAGCCAAGTTTTCTTAAGAGACCCAGAGGTATGCACCCCAAGGCAAAAATAAAAATCTATGTTCTTAAGCTGGGGTATTCCAATTCAATGCTATTTTTTCCTAAATTCACTGTTTCCAATTTCTTGTCAAAAAGAGGCACAATATTTGTTCAGACTTAACCTGTGGGCCCTCTTTAGGCTTTATGCTTCAGCTGTTTTTCAATTCAGTAACAGATACAATCAAAGAACAAAAACAATTAGCTGCCAAAATTAAAGCTTAGCTGAACTATAGCAAGTATCGGAACTTTACTATTATAAAGCATTACTGTACTATTATTCATTCTGCAAAGATCAGCAGACTGTATAAATATACTTTAAGTTGTATCTTATGAGCTTCACCAAGAAAAAAGCAACTCAGCTTTGCTCCAAGTCCTCCCAGACCCCTGTGCAGGCAGCTTTAAAAGAACTCCTTACTACTTCTTTTCCCTGCATTACTTGCAGCTGAAAGCAACAGTATTGTACATCTGCACTAAGGTTTTCAAAATATTGTATATTGGTGTAGTCACTCAAAATAGTACTTGGTATGCAATTATTATTTTGGAATGAAGAGAGTGCTGAACACAAGGCTTGAAGAGAATTTAAGCCCGTTAGCCTGATAATTAAGGATTAAAAACTCAGAACGCATGTTTTCAGTTTCCTAAACTCGGCTGTTACAGGGAAGTTCTGGAAGAACAACCCGGAGGCTGTGGGAAGAATGACTTACTAACAGAGAGACCACACTGGCACCTGCTGGAGATCCCAGGGAAAGGGCTATGAAAGAAACCACGGATTTTTCTTTTTTACAAAGCTTTCCAAGAAGACTTGCTGTCTTCACCAGGGCTGAAGCTTTAGTGAGGAGCAGAGATGTGTTCCAGTGCTCTTCAAGAAAACATTCTTAATTTACAGCCATAAATGCAGTCAGGGATCCTGCAGGTCCCTAAACACATACGGTTTTCTCTCTCACTGAATTTTTACTCTGAAAAGAAGATGAGCTATAGCATTGGTGTCTGGTTTTGTAAACAGCAGTCCTTATTGCAGTCAGGGATCTGCCAGCATTCACCGCTGTTCCTCTGCACTGAAGCAGCCATTTTTAGCTTGAGTCAGAACAAAGACCAAATAGGTACAGCCACTCAACATTCTTCTCATTAGAAGGTCAAAGTCCTTACATGAATGAACCTTTATATCTATTTCAGGAAAAACTAAAAAAGTGTTCACATTGGTATGTAACTGGATTTAGTGGTATGAAAGCACAGGCATGCCGTGAGGGACAGCTCTATACTGAAATGCCTGCGTTGCACTGATATCAAACTTATTGTTCTGCTTTATCAAGTTCTAAGCATTTGAGACAAGTCCTTCTTTAGTATCAGCACACATAGGCAAGATGACTTGGTATTCACAAATAACAACTACTAATAACCAATTATAATCATCTTAACATTATTTATTGGCAAAGAATGCCATTAAAAAAGCCAAATCCCTGATATTTGCAGAATAACTGACAAATGATCATTTTACTTATAATCTCAAAATACTGAGAAAGAGGGAGGATGCACAGATTGGGGTGTTCCATTTCCTTGTTGGCTTTTCTTGTTCGGTTGATTGTTGTTGGATTTTTCACTTTTTTTTTTTAGGTAGTGAACTAGTATTTTAAAACTAGTTTGTAACAAGAACATGCTCTGCACTAACAGTGTGCGAGTCAATTCTGTTGAAAACTTAACCATCGAAATGATTCAAAGTTCTGGCTGGGCCATGGCCCTGCACTGGTTCTCCTCTTGGCTGTGGGAGAGCAGGACAGGTCAGCATACATCCCCAGCTAACCCCTGGACTGAGGTGCTATCAAACACTGAAGTACAGAAAGCTGCTCCATGTTTCAGATGAAAGCTTCTGAACACTTCAGATAGAAGCCACTTAGTTTAGGGAAAAAAACCTCTGAGGTTGATAATCACACATTTATTACCCAGCTCTGGTAATAGACTGTTCTTTACCATATGCGTACAACACACAGCACAAGTGCTCCTATCAGTATTTGTGATTAACAAAGTGCAATAATGACTTCTGCTCCCATACTTGAACCATCCTATTTTATCAGAGTGAAGACAATATCATCAATACTTAACATATTTCAGAGACAATAATAAAAACTGCATGAAGTACAGACCAAGACCCTCATAATTAGTGCTACTGTACTTTTATGTGCATCTAAAAAAGGGACTAGCACAGTTCAGTGCTAAAAAAAACCAACAAAAACCAACCTACTATACTTTCCTTGACACAAGTTTAGAAAATCCTTACATCTATTCTGATGCACGAGCCTCAACAACTTCTTTTTAAGATGAGTTTTGCTGAAACAAGCACTTTCCCTGGTGTTAGCAGTCATGTAGGATTCCAACCTAGTGCTGCTAGTGCTTTTAAGTGTTTCACCTTTTGTTTCAGTTCTAGTTTAACATCAACCACACACCTTACTGTATTAAAGTAAAAGTAAAGTAAAAAAGACTAAATACATAAAATGCAAGTTCAGTATCTCAGAGTATGGTTTTCAAATATTATATTTTCTGGCTGCAGACACAAACTGAAGCACTTTTTTCCAAAATAACTTCCACACACAAACACAAAAGAGTTGTATCTTCAGGGAAGACATTCTGAGTGACTGTGGATAGCGTGATCACCTCAGTAATGCCTCTCATGTATCTCAGCATCATGGCAGTATAGAAAGCAGCAGAGGGCTGTAACTTGTTTCTACACTAACATGAAAATAACTTCATGTTGCACTTTGTATGGAGGTAGAAATACCAAAGCAAGTCATTCCACAGACAGCTTCATCCAGAACTATGCAGGTCTGAAGGCTCAGTGCTCTTTGAAATATCAATAGGAAAATAATTCCTAAACCTCTGAATAGATTTATTTTTAGAAGTCAAATAACGTAAAAGGGGTAAAACAAAGAAATCTGAATATTAGAGTTACGTCATTAACCTTTAAAGGGGAGTCAGCTGAGGCTCTCAAGGGTTACAAAGGAACACTACAATGCATATGGGACAGTTACAAGGTTTAACCTAAAAAGCCCACAGACCTACGTAATGAAACAGCAATGCAATAATGGCTCTGTTCTGTTAGACAGAAATGTAGAGTAAACATTTTTATTCATAGCAGGCAAGCCAACAAACTGTTAATGAGTAGAACCTTGACACAACACACAGGGTATGATAGGAACTGTGATCTTCAGAGAAATTTAAAGTGCATCATATATAAACCTGCCTTACAGTAAACGAATGCAAGCAGAAAACAGTACCATGAAAATACTCATGTTACACCACTCGCCCTTTTACATAAAGCTACTGCTCCATCTGCTGTTTCTGTGTCAAACAGCATGTGAGGAGAAGTTTTTCTGGTTGGTGAAGTCAAAGAGTTCAGTCTTGGAAGCCACAGCTACTGATCGCTCAGACTCAGATACCACCATTTAGTCTTAGAAAACCCCCCTGCTTACCTTCCACCTGACCAGTCTGTGGCTGTGTTCCGGGGTACGGTGGCTGCTGTGCCTGAACACCAGGGGGATGGGCTGCAGAAGAGGAGGAAGCGATGCTGTCCGGTGTTCCTGATCGTTCTTCTGCAGGGGCACTGGGTGGTCCTAGAGGAGCAATAACAAAAGACATTATGCGAAATGAACAGAGTTGGAATAAAAAGCGAAGTCTAACATAAGACTATTCTCTTGCAAAGTTTTAAAAATTTTTTCCAGTTTTCCACAGGTTTACATCTGAGAGTGGCATGCCCAAGCTCAAACTAAATGTATGTGCACATCTATACTCTCCTTTGAAAATATCTGGGGGGTGGAATTTTCTACCTGTCTCTAGTTCACTCAGACTTCACCCTTCCAAGGAACCTGACCCCTCTGAGGGGTCCCTCCATGACAACACGTTTTCAACAGCTTCAAGTGTTAAAACCTTGCACAAGTACACTGAAGGCTTGCTATGTTTGGACAGAACATAACACCTATGTACCTATTCTTTCTCATCTGGAACAAAGGTGAAAGGCTCCATGAAACTGTTCAAACACACTTGTGTTTTACTGTGGCCCACATCAGCCCAGGCAAAGTGTTTTGCCAGTATTCATATGGCATGTGAACAGAAAACCTCCAAGGAAGGTGTCAAAATCACACACCCGGACAGGATATCACAGACTTCACTCTAAAAGTAATTATTTGCTTTGATAATTCTGAAAATATTCCAGCTAGCACCCAAAGAAAGCATGGAAACAGAATTCAGATTCTCTCTACATTAGTGAGAAGTTCTGAACAGGTACAATATACTACAATTAAATACAAAATATTTTTTTAGAAACAAGGGAGCTTAAACCTGGACCTTTCCAGCTCTTAGCTACAGGAATCCACTAATCCAGCAGTGTTTTCATGTTACTCTAATTAGGGGTGGAATTCATCAAATCTGCCTACGTCTAATTTTCATAGATAACTTGCTTTAAACTTGGGAGTACACAGCAACAGTGGTTTTACTTCCAGGTTTCAGTGCTCTGTTAAACCTTGCCAGACCCACACAGAGTCTGTGCAAAATCATTTTTCTATATTCTGTATCACACTACATTGCTTTTCTAATTTCAGTTATCCTCTCTCAAGCTGACTGCATTCAGTTTAACAGAATTATTTTTCATATGTTTAGCATTCTCGTATAGGTAGGCCTGACAATCATGTAGTTCTTCAAGAATAACTGTAATTCAAGCAAGTATGTTATTCCTTTCTGTTAACAGTAAAAAACTGATATTATCTACTTTTGAAATGAAACAGAGAAAAGGCAGGGCCATACGAAACATTCAGACTGCCCCAAACAGTAGAAGCACAAGCCAAGAACATGAACTGCAAGATCAAACCCTAAGGCAGAGCAGTGGATACTGTTTTTCTATCACTGACAGGTATTGATTAAGTTACTCTATACAACAGCTTTAAATAATTCAAAAAATGTTAAGCCATTTTCTATGCTAAGCTAAAACACAATGTTAAAACCAACCACATTTCAACATTTTGAATACAGAAGTTAGCAAACACAGTTACAACACCTTAATGTATCAAGTTTTAGAATTCTGAAAAGAAACAGTGAATTCAGAACACAGCTTGGCACATCCAAAATACAAATCCTTTGTTACAAATCAAGATCTGAGACGCTGATTATGAACAGGTTTTGCGTTCCTTTTCATAAGATGTATTCTAACGGTTGGACTCGATCTTAAAGCTCTTTTCCAACCTAAACGATTCTATGATTCTATTCTTACCTGACACCTGATCATCTGTCAAGCCAAATGCTGACATGACATTCTTGCTAATTTCATCCTGGTTCTTTAGCGGATCAAATGCAGACATGCTTGCTGCTATAACTTGTGTAGATGGCTTCACATTAGAGTCAGCAGCAGCTGGCTTTTCTTCCCTACCGTCTACAGCATCTAGAAGAGAAAAAATGCCCAATTATTAATTCTTAAGAATGGAAACACCATCATACATATACACTATACTGCAGCAACTTTAACATTACATAGTTGTAGGGGTAGGGGTTTTTTAAATGTTTTAACTGTTGAAATGCTTATGTTAAGCTAACAGGGACGATCAGTGATGTATCGAAAACTGTGATGAATCACAAAGCTTAGGTTTGAATGCACTGTTACTTAAAGATACACTGACACTGTAGAGTATCAGTATCACACACCCTTTTGTCTTAAATTCAAAGGTACAAGGTTCCCTTCAAACAAACTGTTCTGGTACAACTTCTCCACAGAGAATTAAAAACTTAAGAAAACAAACAGGACAGGTTCCAGTTTACTACAGCATTTTATCAACTGCAGTTTCTGTTTTACTCTATCCCTTTCTCCCCAAAATCTTCCTAAGCTAACAGGTGAAGTTCAGCTTCTTGCAATTCTACAGGCAACACTGAATCACTTAGAAACCCCTCACCTACTAGAGAGCTACATTTTCTCTTAAAAACAAACAAATACAGGTGGGCTTTAGGATGGTCAGTTTTGTTTACTTTTAAGATTACCACGATAAACTCCTTCCAAATAGTTTATAACCAGAATCCATAGTATTCTACTGAAACTAGTAATTGCTTATAATGAAGGAACAGGGGCTGGGATTTTTAAAACAACAAAATCAACAAAACTTTGAAGTGTACAATATAGAAGCAGCATTTCGCAAGAGAAAGGCTTGAGTTCTTGGTTTGCCTCTTTACTTAGAATACTGTACTCCATGACTTTGTGTCATTATTTTCTGTGTCCAGCTTACCTAAAATCTGTAGTTAAGCACACAGAATTATAGTTTTTACAGTACAACAGCCCTAAGCTAGGAGATTAATGCCTCAAAACTGGGAGTATAAGACTTCCATCCCCATTCTGCCCTCCCCCAGCAATCCTTTCCCACCCCTACCTGCACCCTTGTGCTGCTTACCCTGAGACAGCTCTGATGCTGGTCTGAGCTCAAAATGTGGGGATTCAATTTCCTAACCTGGCAAAAAAAGTGGGTATAATTTTTTGCTGAACTCAGTTTTTGATGTTTTAGTGAACCAAACTTGCTTAGCAACATGGCAAGATAAGCACCAGAGCTAGCCCAAAGTAAGCAGTGAGAGTGTTCAGCTCCGAGCAAGAACTCTTCAGGAACAACAAACTATTAATTCTGCTCAAAGCCCTCTCAAAACGTTGTCAGGACTCACAAGTGTTAGTTACAGCATTTTCATACATTGCAACAAACATTCAGGCTTTAAGTTTTATTCCAATATTAACTTAGTACTGTACCTCAGATAATCTGAATGTAAGCTCTGCCTTCGAAATAACGAAAGCATTAAAACTTAGGTTCCAAATAACAAGAAAGTTAAGAATGATCACAACCAGTATTCAAGTCTCCATTTTTCACTTCATTAAACACCACACAACTCTGCAAATGAAACCAAATAATTCTTTGCCAGGCTGCCTACCACTTTCAGGCAGATTAGTGGAAAGCCCTGGTTCAGCTGGTGGTTCTAAACAGTCCAGTAAGCGATTGACTTTATTGCGAAGTTCTATCAGCTCTCGACGCAGGTATTTCACCTGATTAGATTCTAGGGGTCTTGGTTGTCCATTCACTGCAAAATAGCAATTAGATAAAGTTAAGACTGCAGTAACATTTTGACATCCAGTTTAAAATTCAAAAGAAAATAAATAAAGTCCCAATTTTTACTTGCTTGTAGCATTACCATCCTCTGTGGAGTTCAAAGTGAAAGTTTAGTCAACAGACTGAAGTAATTCCAGAGCATACTATTCCTTTAATAGAATCTCAGTTCAACATAATCCAATGTACCAGAACTGCAGATTAAAGTCTGCAGTAACTTTCTGCATTGTTTACATATTTCCATGGACGTACCCCGAATGATACAAATATCATACTTGGTTGTGGAAATCTGTCCCTCATACACAACAGTGCTGCAATTCATGAATTGCGTCAGCACCAAGTTAAAGGCTGTTTGCTGTATTTTGGAACTATGTGCTAATTTACCAATACCATCTTGAAAATAAAGAACTATTTTATACAGAGACCAAAGGATAAATCTTAAAATCTACTCAACTTCAAGCATTTAATGTTATTTTTTAGCAGCATACTAGTAATATTGCAAGATAATCATCCTAAGTTTCTCACACGCCTGTGAAGAAAACCCCACAAATGCTAGACAATGGAAGATACCATGGAAAATGACACTAAGAAAAAAACATGGACCACATATATATGTGTGGCAAATACTTTTATCAATCTTATAAAAAGAAATAGTTTCAGTTTCTGTAAGTTCAAATGTCACGGGTAACATCAACAGAGAAAACAGATACCATGTATTCATCCAGTATTTTTAACTTCCATTTTTCTGAGCTGACAAACTGAAACTTTTTAGTAGGTTCCAGTGAAGTCCACTGCCTTAATTTTAATAAACAGTATTAAAAAAAGAAAAAAATAATCTATACTTACCAAACAATGTCAGCTTAAGTATCCTACTGCACTGAATTGCAAAGGAAAGATCTGAGCTATCAAAAATTGTTATAAGATCTCCATCTGAAAAGAACGTGAAAAAGTTACATTAAAAGCAAAGTCTATTATCTACTGAACTTCAAACTGGGGCAGAACGGTTACTTCGTTACTCAAAAACACCCTTCCCTATTTGATTCTGAAGTTACTGGGGAAAAAAGGTTATTACTTTAGTGCGAAAGTCAATGTGCAGATAAATTGTGCCAAGAAGGTTAAGACAAAAGCACGACTGGCTCCAAAAGGGAACCTTCTAACATTAGTCCTTTGTGAGTTCCATATAGTCCATTATTTCTTTTACGTTTACAACCAGGAAGAAATATAAGAGCTAAGAGTTCCCTAAGCCCAACACCAGAAAGAACGATGCTGTCAGTTAAAGTTATATGCCTATCCCAAGTGGCTCAAAAATTGTGCTGTTCACAAAGGGACAGGAAAGTCAAGATAGATGATGCAAAGCAATCCCAATTCAATTTTTAAAAACAAAGCACGCACACTAACAAGAGAAAAATTAAAGTGACTAGAACACTGTCTTACATTATACTCAGAACACTGAGGTGCAAGACATTTTCAACACGAGAATGATAAAGTTCCTCTGTAAAAGTGTATAGTAAAAATACCTATCAGCCTTAACACAAAAATAGGAATGAAGACATGATGATGTAGGCAGAAGAAATTTTTCTCTCAAACCAGGAATTTGACGTGAAGTCTCAACTCTTAGCCACTTTGTGTGCGTATCAGATTTCAGAGGAACTCCCATCCTCATGCATCCTAACGAATCTGCCATCAGTCACTATATTAGAACTGTATGAGATCCTATACTCTTAAGGTCCAAAGGGCTATGCAAAAAGCGCTGAATGCCTTTCATCCTATTAACATCCAAAAGAGATACCAAGTTCCCATTAAGTCCACTCTCTCACAATTTTTAACCTAAGTCAAGAAAATTCACATTAACACCTTTGCCTACTCAACAAGATCACAGACAAGACAAGACTATTCTCTTTGGAAGAATGGACTTTCTGCTGTTTTAACACATTCAATAGATTATTAATAGATTAAATGAACACAAAAAGGGCACTGCAAAGAAAAGAGCAGAAATGCATTATCAAGAAAACATGTCTACTGATGGATAAGCGATAGCAGGACCACTTCCTTCCCGAACAGCCTGATGACTGGAAACCAAGATGAGACACTATCCAGCGAAACTTTAAAAGCAACTGCACTAGACAAATGACACACAGCTTGGAACAAAGCCAGCTCCAGGCTGCCAATGTTCCTCCCTAAACACTGTTACAAGGAGACTCTGTGGACACACACAGAAACATGTTTATAATTACAGATTACTGCCTAAAAATTCTGAGCATTGGAGACAAAGTTCCACCTTTGTATAAAAGTTATGGTTAATATGTTCAAATAAATGAATGCCTCAGTACAAACAGTCATTAAACACATGATAGTGAGTTGGAAAAAGCTCAACATGTGAAGAACTGTCTAATTTTGTCATACCTGACTACAAGTAACACCTCTGCAATGGAAGGTTTTCTTAGCGTAGTACCATCGATACCACCTAACAATGCCTGTCAGTCTTAAGACGTTGCCTTTTGTCCCAATTTGAGCTAAAGAGAACCAATTCTGTTCAATGATTTTATTTTTCAGCTCAGTTTCTTCTAAGACGCTGCATTTTTGAAGTTAATAGCACGTTTTTGCAGTGTCTGCTACTAGTAGCAATAGCGTCCGATACTTCCAGTTACTGCCTGGGACTGGGATGCAGAAAGGCTCTTGCTTATACTTATTCCTACAGCGATCAAGGTCACAGCTGGATCTCGTGTAACACACTGGGGGTGCCAGGAAGCAAAAGGGTCACAAGGAAGTAAAAAGTTGCACGTTCAGGGAGGAACAGGCAGGACAGGTGACCAACAAAACTATTCCGTTCCATATACAGCATATTCAGTATAAAGCTGAGGGATCATAGGGGTTAAACTCTCTTGCGCAAAGGTCTGGTGTCCAAGTAGGACCCAAGCACTCTTCCGCCTTCGACCCCAATCCTGAGTTCCTGAATCCAGCGCTTGTATCCAGCTCCCCTCTGCCACAGAATCTGGGACTTCCATGGTCTGCCTACTCTGCAGCATCAGTGGGGATTACTATCATGTGGGGAAGTTAGGTTCAATACTGGCTTTGTATATTTGTACATACTTCAGTATTTTTATTATTTCCCTATTAGTACTATTCTATTATTGTTTATTAAAGCTGTTTGGGTTTTCTTTTCCAATCTGTAAGTCCCTCTGCCTTACTC